TCGCTGCGATTTCTACTGTAAAGCCCTACAAGATTTTCTTGCCCCGAGTCAAGTATCGATCTATAAAAATAATGAAATCTACTTACTCTGTAAGAGATGTTGAAAATAATGACTCTGTATACACTAATGACCATTGCGAGATTCGGGTCTATTGTGCAGGGCGTCTCAGTGATTTTATTTTTGGCGTGTGTTCTAACCCAAAATGTTGCAGAACGTAATAAATCGGTGCATTGTGGAAGAAATTAGCGACATTATAAGATAAACGTACTGGAGGAGATAAATTTAAGAAAGTAAATAAATCAGTTTTTAATACAGAACTGTAAGTTTATTTATTCAAAATTAGCATTACATAAAGATGTAAGATGAATAATTACAAGTATAATTAATGTAATGAAAAATTCAAACAAAGGAGAGAAATTAGGGCGGCGTTTTTATTTATTTTTCAAATATTATTTGTGTATTTAATCATAGAATGACCATTTTGAATCGCTTTTATTGTGATCGAACGCTGGATTGCGAGTTTGATATTTCGGGTTATCGATATGTCTGCATTTTTCTGTGTTTTTGCTGTTCTTTGGAGGATTTGTACCAGATGCGTGATTTTTTTTTTTGAAAATAAATTCTAATTTTAAACGGGGGGCTAATAGGTCATTCACGAGACAATAGTCAATATTTGTTATGTGTATAAAATATTTCAGTAATTACATACGTCTGCAAGTAAAAGTCATATACTTCAGCTAACATATACGAGGGTTACTTCAAAAGTCATGGCAACTAATTTTTTTTTTGGGAGGGGGGGCAAACACGTTATATTGAAGGAAGTTCAAAATATACATATGAAAGGGCACGATATATTCCTGTGATTGGCGTAGCCAGATCAAGTAGGTGTTCGGTAATTGTTAAACACTTCAAGATTTTACAACAAAAGTTTTACCCCACTGTAAGTAACGCGTATTTTAATTTGTTTACGTGGTATGAGCATAGCACCGTTGAAGATGACTGTTGTTATTAAATGCATACATTTCAGCAATAAATACATGGAACAGCCATCTTCCTGCTATTTTATGATCAAAAATTCTTGTTTCTTACTGAAGTTACTTCTATTTTACATATTTCCCTCATGTTTATAAATATTTATGTATTAATGGAAAAGTGTATTGTAACATGGTTTGTTCTCTCGTGATCTATTTCCAAAAAAGGTTAAGTTATTTGCATTTTCAATTAGCTTTCCAACCAAATGTTTCATTGGAGTCTGTATAATACTTGTACATGACGGTTCATAACAACCGCTAGATGTGGAACCCAGAGAATTGTTTTTTCGAGAGTTCCTGCCATCTAGGAAGGAAAAATAGTACTAATTAGAAACAGCATTAAGTTTCAATTACATTTTCACTTACCCTAAAAAAAAAATTTGTTTCTATGTATGCTAATTCCTTAACACAGGAAATAAAATGCAGAGAAGTCAAAATTTTGGAAAGTTTCCTGAATCCAGAAATGAAGACAACAACTGTCCTGGTACTTACGAGAGTCGAAACCTCTGCTGGAATACGAACTAGAAACCTCCATATAAAAGTAACACGCGTTATATCATGGCTGATATATAAGATGCGAATGTTGACGTCGTCATCTGTTATTAATGTTACCAACATTTGAAATTTCCCTCCCGGAGCTAAACGCCTTGCAGTGGAATGAAGAGAAAGCTGATGGCGGTTTCAGACAAGAACGCATCTAGGAGCGCATAATGCGAATGGTTTTTGACGTAAATACGTCTATAAGTAAGGGTCATTCGGCAAAAAAGTGGAACGAAAAAGTGTAACAATGGTTGCCTAGGGAACGTCGTGTTTACTCGGAATTGTTACCTAGGAAACGTTACATTACATTACATTACATTACTTTACATTACATTCAGCTACCACAGACCCATCTTAAGCGTAACTAATTCAAGTTAAATAAGCAAAGTCTTAATCAAACTTTACTCAATTGTAAAGCATGTATAAAGGAAATATTTAGAATAAAGCCAATATATAAACTTCCTTTCCGTATAGACGTATTTACGTCAAATTCTCCGGAACCGTGGGTCCACTGACAACTTTTTTTCATGTAATGAAACGGACTGTTGGGAATCCCCTGCTGGCCCGCTGTGTATGGTCGTACACTAAACCCTCGTACAATGCGAGGGATATGTTTCTCGAAACAGGTACGTTCCTGAATTCGCGTTGAACTTAACAGCACCAAAATTCGTTTAGTTGGAAATTCCGTGCAACAAAACCACTTTGTTCTCACCTCTGTGAAAACCCAAGTTTTACATTTCTCCGCCATTACACTTCATTTGTCATTTTCATGTGATGAGACATTATGTTTCATTACTTTTATTTGTATTGTTTTCTGATTGTAAATCACTAGCCTGTTCACTCATAAAGTTCTGTCACAATTTCAACATCATTACTTTGATGTTAACTTCCTGAAAGTCATTTAATTTAACAGTGAAGATAATGAAAACCTTATTTGACGAAAGAAGTTTCCACTGGAAGTTTCCCACGCGATAGAATTGTGTGATTAACGGATTTGTTTGGTGACTTAGGTATTGTACGGAAGAAAGAGATGACGAAAGTTCACCAGATCGACCTGTGTCCGAAGTGAATGTTGATGTATGTAATTAAATCCATGTGAAGTGTAGAGTAGTTCTGAACGATGGTTGGAAACTCTATCAAATTTGTCAGAAGCCTTCTAATTTAATGTGAACTCAAATCGATACTTCATGGCGAGCAGTCGACTTGTGTAGTCTGTAATATGGCTTCTGAATCTCCTGGAATGTATGGAAAATTCATGTAGCGTATTCATCCTTAACTGGATCAGTACAAACGAAGTGGAATGTGTGTATGCTCTAAATAAAGTGTCGATGTTGTTATCAACTTTTATTCCACAAATATTTTAAGGGATTTGACAAATTAAATATTTCGCTGTCTTGGGACTCACACTTACACCGTGGTCTCTGGTTCTAATCCCAGTAGGACCTTAATATTTTCGTTTCTCTGTTTTGTTCAAGTTTGGATATCGGTGAATCTGCCTGACGTCTTACTAGTTTTGAAACTGTTGGGTGATTTAGTGTCTGAAATTCCAAAATTTAATATATTTTATACATTTGTGCTCTGTAGTTTCAGAATTCTTTTTAAATTATAGAGACACCGCCATTCACTGTAACCACGCGATCTGAGGCGTGGGCCTTGTGTCGCTGGGACCGTGGGTTCGAGTCCCACTCAAGGCATGGATGTTTGTCCACGTTTTTTCTGTTTTTGTATATGTAGAGGCCTTGCGTCGGGCTGATCACTCATCCAAGGAGTCTTACCTTTGTCAAAACAGATCATTCTAATAAATAAAACCTCGACACATCCGAGTAAAAGAGGATGAGAGAGAGAGAGAAATTCTGCGGGCTTTTGAATATGACATGTGCAAAGTGTAAAATAGCAGCAGGGCCTCCCCACTTAATAAATATGTCAAGAAGATACTTAGAAAGTTTTTATTTAATTCTTTTTAGGACGTACGAGGCAGGATGCTCAATATAAATAAAATATCTCTTCGTGCCAAATTAACATCGTTATCAAATGAGTCATTGAAGATCAAACCATGGCGGTTCAATGCTTAATGTGTATCTTGCTTCTGGATAATGTTACTATGGACATAGGCCATTTCCCATATTTAGCCATGAAGATGGAGACAGTAATGGTCTCCGAAACGTCATCAATACAATGTACATCCTTACATGATGCTAAGCATTGCATTGGTTTAATTATCGTGTTGGCAATCTTGGTTAACATTTGCAGACAGTCGATGATGGGATTTTAAATTACAAACCTGAAGACGGCTTGGACCATTTAAATTATTTCAGTAATTTATGTGCGTTGACAGTCCATACTAGCGATGTTTCTTATTATTTGTTTATAAGCCCACTTTATACGGATAGAAGCATTGAAACGAAAATGGCGTCGTGACGTCTTCGTGGAGCGTCTTGTTTTAAGTGTACTCCATGTGTTTGTTGTGACAGCTGCTAGCTATTACACTCAAAGAACCCACCGACTGATGCATAATAAACACAGGACGATCGTCTGGCGAGTCCAATTTTGTATCTGGAGCAAATTGGATGCTGGACCTAGCTTCATGAAGGCTGAAGAATGTGGAAATCACAGTTGGTTATTAAAAGCTAATGAGCATTTTAACTGATGTGGATTCTGTTTATGGATGATAGGACAGTGCAGATGTGTTATGTTTCCGACGTTTCGGCGATCCACAAATCGTGACTAAAATCTAATTGACTTAAAAATTTATGTCGATGTTTGATTCGTGTTTCTGGGCGATGTTTGTTGTATTTCGACGTTTCGGAGACCCATAATTGATTATTTAAATCTAGTTTACATTATACATAAATGTGGATATCTGACCCTATTTCTGGGCGATAGGACAGTCGTAGATGTGTTATATTTTCGACGTTTCGGCTATCCACAGTTTGTTACTAAAATCTAATTGGCATTAAAACTAATGTCGATGTGTGATTCGTGTTTCTGGGCGATGGGACAGCATAGATGTTTGTTGTATTTCGACGTTTCAGAGACCCATTATTGATTATTTAAATCTAATTTACATTGTACATGAATATGGATATCTGACCCTGTTTCTGGGTGATGGGACGTTGTAGATGTGTGCTGTATTACCGACTTTTCGGACATTCATAATTGATGTGTCGTTTTTCAACTTCAAAGTGATTCATTAACAAGAATGGCACCAAAACATTAAAACGTATTCAATATATTTTTTAACTCTTCGTAATGTTCATCTCACTGGTATTACGGAGAACCCATAGATGTCATGTAATTTTCAGTAATCGCTAATTCCGTGCTGAAGGGTGTTCCTACTTCAGCTGACTGTTACTGAGCTGTCCAAAATATTCCCTTGTTTTTGTTGAGTCAGAGGTTTCGTTAAATCGTGACGAAATTTGGTCACTCAATCGTAATTTAGACAGTTAAATATCGTTCGTCATCAGAGCTCGTTGCTATAACAGGGTGACTTGTAGCAATAAATTATTTACTAGGTTTGGTCGAAATTCAGAGAATTTGGAAACACGTTACCTCAACGGTAATGTATCTATCTGCAATGTATTAGCCGCAAAACCTTATACATCGACTTAGCTCGTCTACTTTTTCTCATCGCTGAACATAAAGCCGTTTCTTCATAGGGATCTTGGAGGGACAACTCCACGCATTTTAACCTTGAAACTACATGGTGTATAGTGATCAGCTTCACGCTCCGGCCGCTCTGTCCGCCAGTACTCGTTGGATACGAAGCTGGGTGGACGCAAATGTAGGCACTGATGTGATGGCGTTAGGATTCAAACTGATTATTAGCGAAAGGAATCACGAAGTCTATATAATATTTAAAAATTTAGTTCGTACCTCAAAGAAAACATTACAAAAATTAGTGTTCTGTATACGAAATCTCATAAGTACACACTGAGTGGGTAAATTGCAGAGTTATTTATTGTTAAAGTAGGTTGTACATATAGCTACTATTGTGAAGAGGTAAATTTAACCAATTAGCTGAGTTTACAGAGGAGATTCCTCATGTATTAGTCAGTCAGAAAAGTCCCTGCTGTTATTGATTCCGATGGTTTTAACCGGTTTTTGCAAAATCCTGTCCTGAGCTTCATGAATATAGATCACACCACATCGTCATAGATGTATGACCATTGGTCTATTTCCGTCCCAGTTAAAATCTACCTTTTGATATGGCTTCCAAAATCATTATGAAATACAAGTCTTGACATGTCTCATATTTTTTTGGTAACCTTAAAAGTAAATTTTGTAATGTTTCATTGTGCCCTAATTTTTAAACTGTAATCAGTTTTCATTACCTTCGGGACCAATGTAAATGAATGAATGTCCGTTACGGTAATTAAATACGTACAAATATTTAATTATATGTGTTTCTTATTAGCGCGACGCAATGAATAAGTGTGGATGATTAGAGGTATAGCTTCATACTTTCTTAACTTCGCCACACGATGGCTGCGAGTGGTCAGCTAATCCATTAGACATTAAAGATTCTGCATCATAATACGAACATGAACATTGGAGGAAACCTAACTCCCGAAACGTCGTATATGCAAAATATACCTTATACAATGGATAATATAATAATTGTATGATAAATCACTCATTGTCATAATTCTATAGCGAATCAAAAGTATTAGTTTAGGTTATAAATATATAAAGTTTAATTAAAATTAGTCTATGTCTACTGTGAAAGTAATTACATGTATATTTGTAAGTATGTTATGCGTGAATAATAATATGGTCAGTGGGTAATAAAATCAACAGAGCTGTAGGATTATTAATTTGCCCCTCCATCATTTTCGAAACGATTCCATGTCATTGTGGCCTCATATCGGAAAATGTCAGCTGTCACGTTGACATGTGACAACCCCCCTAGAACCTGGACACTTGAAATATTATGACGTCACTGCCAGTGGCGTTAGTTTTCCCACTGCAAGCAACCTTGTTCGTACACATCATTTCCTTTCGTGCGATATATTATTTAAATACTTAATTGCAATTATTAATTTATGGCACCGAACTCCTGCTCCGTATTCTGGAGGTCCCAGGTTCAAAGCTCGGCCAGGATACCAGATATCCCGACAGGTTTCTTTCGTGGTTTTCGTCATTCCTACGCAAATTCCGAAAAACTGCCTTAGATTAATTATTCGCTGTCATCTTTACATTTAACGCTATAGTCTGGAACACTAAAAGGCGTCGTTAAATAAACTAATTTAATTAATGAGTTCAATCACACTCCCCAACCCTCGTTTCACTAAGATTCGCTTTAATATTATCCTTCCGACTACGCCTAGATCTTATTGTCTCTTACGTTCAAGTTTTCAGCCGATGTCTACACACATTTTCCCAAGTTAAAGCCTTGTATTATAATTAAAATCATTCTCTTCCACATAATGGGATGGCATTAAAGTAGGCCTTGTCTTGCATAGCGTTACACATTACCAGTTTTTATTTTATCAACCCCTGAATGAAGTATTGTTTGAAAAGGTAAGCTTTACCCCCGTATGGCAGGTTTGCATAAGGTAATGAATTAATTTCATTTCCAAAACTGATCTGTAAATTTTTGTTAAATTTTATACTGGTGGTCTTTATTGAATTTTGTGGAAAGAATTTAGTTTTGGTCTGTAATGGTACAGTATCAACTTAAATTTACATTAATCTATTTGTCCGAGGTATAAAATAATTTGGGGTTCTCACGGCGAGCATGAAGATGGCTGTCTTCTGGTTTTACTCATTGCCCTGATGATGGAGGCAGCAAATATCTCTGAAACATCTGTTAGCTTCAACCAGGCTACACTGTACTGCAACCCAGAAGACAGCCATCTTTGTTTCATTTATGTTTGATATTATTTATTTAATTTTTGAGTCATTTCTAGATATTATTAAGCTTGTTTGCCTGTTTTCAAGCACATGAATTATTATTATTTCGCTAATGTGTGTGAAAGATTTATTTTGCATTCCTCGAATTTTGTGGTCTGTCTGTTTACTGTTTTTTTACGAACGTGTAAATGATGTTTGAATGCATCCGACAGAGAAAAATGCCCGCGTGGTCTGGGCGGAAGTGAATATGGCGGATACGTTTCTAACCGTTCTGCGTTTACAAGCTCGCCCCGAATGGAAACATCCCGCTTATTTTCAGTTTTATTTTTCCCCCTTCGCGTTAGAGCAGCGGTTCCCAAACTTTTGGCTCCATGAGTCCTTGTTTCGGACACATTCCACGAACCATCTTTCAGAATCCATATAGTTATAGTCTTCGATTTTTGTTGCAATCGATATACTGCTTGTAATCGATACGGTCGTTATTTTAGGTTTATTCGATTAACGCCTGTCATACACTTTATGTAGCTCGAAATATTGTTACGATGTGATATTGTGTTGTCTTATTCGGTACTTGTCAAGAAATGTTTAATGTTTCACGAACAGCAGCAGATAATTTCGATGTGAAGTTATGTTATAGAATGAACAATGTTAACACATGTTCGCACTTGCAGAACATTAGCGCCACTGGCGTGACCAGTGGCTTATGAACCAGTGCGATCTTGACTGGGGTGTCACGTGACAGGCTGGTAGACTCCATTACACGGGGGTGAATCTGCGTATATTGTAAATATTGTTGTCCCGAAACCTAAGCATCCCACGAAATGTTTTTTGTGATTACTCTGTGTGATTGATACATAAACGTTATCGCCAAATATGTTTTCACAAATGTCGGTATGTTAGAAATATAATTTTATAAGGGATTAAATTAATGTTATCTATGTATTATAATGAATGGATTAATTTTAATTTTAAAATATGTAATTTTTACTGTATATAGATCTGTTTTTTTACTTTTCTGTGGAGAAAATATTGTGTACTACCGTTATAACTTAACTAATGTAGTTTTGCGCCATTAAACGTCTTTCTTCGTATTCGGGAGATTATAGATTCAAATCTTGGACAAGATACCGGATATAATTATCAGGGTTTTTTTCAATTTCTCCAGTGATTGAAGGAAAAGTAATTTAAATTAGGCCCTGGCCGCGTTCCAATTTATTATTAATTAACGTTTCTCTCAATTGATACTGTATAGTTTCAGCGATGTTAAATAAATTCTACACTTATTAGTCCGAAATGGATTTGTGTTCCGTGTTTTTAGCAGTTCTACTCCGTCATTCTGAAAGAGTGCACTTGGCCGTCTGTCCTCATTAGTATGCCTATTGTATTTGTTTATATGATGTCCATTTGTTATTTTTACTGTTATACTGTAGTCGTAAATGTGGTATTGTTCTTTGATATCCATGATATTTGTTTCTATGTTATGTTTCCTCTGCATGTGTTTTTTTAGAACCTGCGTGATGTTTGCTAATTTATTTCTATTAGGGGTGTCCATAAAACTTGGAACGTCATGGAAAAAATGGAAAATACATTTCTTCACACTACGAAAATCTTAATTCAAACAACTGAGGTTTTCTTAACGGTGTATCGTAGAATAAAATTATATAATAGCCAAACTCGGTCACTCCACCTTGCCCAACCTGTATATCTGAAACGGCGAATCGCAAGAAGATGTAAATACGAGAAATTTATTTTTTATATTTTGAAATTTATTTTTTATATTTCGAAATTTTTTTTTTATATTTCGAAATGTATGCCATGATGTCCATAAAAAAATTTAGCAGTGGTGTGTTAGGAAATAACTTTTCATGAAACAACAAAATAAACTTTTCGCCAAGGAATAAACGTTTATAAATGTTAGGTAAATCATGCATTAGAAGTTATGTAAAATGCCATTTGAATTTACGGTTGAATTTCAACAGGCATTGATTTTTTTATATATTACACGTAGCAGATAGTTGGTACAAGAACATAAGGGTTAAGGCCCTCAATTTTATACTGTGGTATCCTCTCAATAATAAGTTTTAATAAATATGTTAAACAATGGAGAATAAAGGCAATCATTATTTATAACTTACATTCAATTTTTTATTATAATTAGTATTATTTAAAGTACGTAAATTGGATTGTAATTAATATCTTCGGCAAGGCTTTCATATCGAGTTTTCGAATCGAGATTTTGTCGGTTGGGAGAAACATAGTGTCTTCACTTCAGCTCGAAAGATGGAGACACTATGTTACCCCGAAACGGTGGCATCTACCGACGAGTTTCCGCAGCACCGAAACGCAGATAATGATCGTATTCATTGAATCGAGAACTTAAAATCTCACAAATGTTTAATCGATTCGTAAACTCGATATGGAATATGCATCATTGAAGATAGATCTTCCGTATAGAAAACCATATGAGATGTATTTAACGAGAGTCCTTCGTGACTTTGTACTATAAACACATCTTCGTTTCACTGTAAAGAATGGTTTTTTAATATGTGGTTGTGAAATTTACTTACTGCGTTACAAAACGCAGTTGTTGCTAGTAATGAAACTAGTCTCGTTTTATTTATAGTCTAACAGTCTCTCCCATCTAGTAACAACCTGTAATTGTTCTCACATTTGAGCTACAGCTCGTGAATGTTATTTTTAAGGTTAAGGTTCCATCACCTGACTGTCGAAGCAGGGTAATAAGTCTTGTACTCTCGTTGGATCTTAAGATGGTTTTACTATGCACTGGAATTATTGTTTACTGGTGTATAGTACTGTTTCTTTACCCACTATAAACATCTTTGTTTGGCATTAATACATCTTCTCATGTACAATTCACTCAGTCGCGTTGAGTCTAATAACAGCGTGGTTGAAAATTGACAGGTTTCTCCCAAGAGCAGGGATGAAAATCCATATTTAATTTCCATGTGATTAACGATCCAAGCTTAAGTTTTATGTGGATATGGATCATGAATACACTTACGTATTTTAATTAATATGGAATCTGCGTGTTTCTACGGAACTTTGACACCTACGGACGAGTATACTCGATTTCAAAACCTAGAAGATCATTATCATTATCATCACCGCTGTAAGAATCTCATACCTTACATACATATTTTGTTTAAATATTTTCCGTGTGTTAAAATTTACAAATAAAACATGCGCCTAAATTTCTTCGCAGAACTTCTTTTGCAGTTTCGTATGTCCTTTGTTCGTCTGACTGAACTTCCCCCCCTTGTCGTTATGTAGAACGTAACAAATTCACTGCAGAACAGCGCGCGACCTTTGGCTGAGGACCAAGTGCCCTACTACCGCAGTAATTACTTCACATTTTGGCTGTCATTGGTGCTTACCGAATCTTCTATTCAGAGCTGGGTTGCGCTCTGCGATCTCTCGATAATCGATGCTGAGTCGACAACAACCGTCTTTAGACAAACGATATATCTAGGATTCCGATCTGATGACGCATGATACAATTTAGTTTAAGAGTCGTCTTTTAAAGGGTAAAATGTTTTATTTATTTTATTTAGTGTTCTGTCTGACGACAGGTCCATATGAACAGGATCCTTCGATCCTTTTCTCGGACTGGGACCTGTTCATATACGTTCTTGGCAGATGATCCAGAAGTGGTTTGCCATTGCCTTCTTCTGTGTGTGAATGGAGTAATTGTTGGGATGCCACGGAGGAAAACTCCGTGTTACCTAGACCACGGCCTTGCCCAACACAAGTTATAAATTCGAACCCGAGACCCCAGGATTACAAGGCCAGCGTTCTAACCGCTAGACCATATAATAAAATTATGACGATTTACACAATGAACCAGTCCATTTTAAAACACGTTCGTATATTTTATTTAGATCAGATCGACGTATTTCGACCCTTTAAGGGGCCACAGTTAATGGTAGGCCTATACTGTGTTAAAATACGACGTAACAACCAAGGTTAATACATAGTACTTTAGTTACAGAGCCCCTATTGCAAGTCTTGACTGTATGGAGGAGTTCCAGAGTACAAATGAACACCTGACCCAAGGCACGCCACAAACCAAAGAACAACTCCTGCAGAATTTGGCCCAACAGACACCTCTCACAGCACCGAACCACGGTCCTCTTGTTTCACGACAGTCATCCGTCACGCCTGGCTTGAGGTACAGGAACCTTGGAAAGAGCGGCCTCAGGGTGTCCAATGTTGGTCTTGGTAAGCTACACCAATTAACATGAAGGATCCCAGTAATGGGGGTGGAAATAAATGTCGCTTTTGAGTCGTCGTTTTCGAGAGTTAACAGTTTCGAAACTATCTCCGGAGACTGGATATTCTGACAGAGTGATTTCGTGGTTGTCCTCAGTACATTCCTATACTTAAATCTAAAACTTCTTGACGATGGTGAAGAGTCAATTGAATAAAAATTTCCTTGGATATTATCCATCGTCTAGTAAATATAAAACGTAAAACGACGTTTCGGAGATGGGACTCTATCTCCGTCTT